AACTAAGATATATAAAAAAGATAAACTTTGTTTTTTATTTATATTGTATATAATGGTTATTTAAAATCATTATTGTAGATATTTTTTAAAATTTGTATTTGATTATAAATCCATTCAACTTAGTATTATATAATACACATATATTGAGTGTTTTTCCTGTGAAGGTTCAACCTTTTTTTACATTCACAGCATTTTGCTGTGAAGTTTTTAGTGTAAAAAAATGGTCTCACAGGTTTCATAAAAACATGTTGGTCTCACGTGTACCCAACCCTATATATACGTATATGTATGTATATATATATATATATATATTTCTATATGGTTTATATTAATTAACATATTATATATATTAGTGAATTGTTTTAAATATATTATAAAATGTTAAAATTTATTAATTTTTCAAAAATGTCCTTTATAGTCGTTTTACATTTCTCAACTACCTTATCAGCTAGTTTTTGCCAAACGTATTTAGTTCACGAGTTAGTTTATCAATCATCAGCTAGCTTATAAATCACCAGCTAGGTTATCTGTCATAAGCTAGTTTACCAAACATAGCCTTGGTGCTTAAACTCCATTGATAAATTTCAAGGGGAACAAGTTGGATATTTTTCCACAGTTAGTACCGAACTAACGAGCCAAGCCGTATATAGGTTGGAGCTCAAGCTCGAATATTTTTTGAATTATCGAGCTCGAGCTCGATACTCGTGTAAGGGCTCGAACTTGCTATCGGTTTTTTGTTTATTGGCTTGAACTTGATAATTTTATATATTCTACTGTATTATTTATGAATATATGAGAATATTTTGACTCGAATAAGTATATGMTCGAATTGCTCAACTCAACTCGAAAAATTCAATCGAGTTCTCAAACGAGCCAAGTCGAATATTGGTGTTGCGAGGCTTGTCCCGTTAACTTAAACGAATTCTATTTTCTATTCAAGAATGACTCAAGTTCGATAATTATTAAGCACAAACTCGAGTAGTTGTTAAAAGTTGAAATCATTTACACGTCTACTTGTACATAATAAGGTCTGGTCCCAAAAAATCTGATCGAACCTGTCTTCCCTGAACGAAACCTAGAAATAACCCCTCACGTGCGAAACTACACCGAAAGTCCATCCTAACCTGACCTTGGCTCTTGAAGGCCCGATTTTTTATTTGCTTATTGAAAAAGAGTTTGGAAGGTCCGGACCCTGGTTTAAAAAGCCCATGTCTTATGCATCTTAAATTTTTTAGCTTATTAGAAACCCGATCTTTTTACACTACGTTTTTTAGTCAAATTGAATAAACAAGTTAGCCGCTCATTCTAAATTTACGAAGTTTGTTAGAGTCGTGTTTGAATGAAGTGTGTAACAGAAGTTCGTCTTTTATAATCACTTACTGCCAAAAATACGGCTGTAAGCGATTATATTCAGCTTTCATGTTTGTAGACTCACCTTTTATAGACCGACTAAAAAAAGTTCGTCCAAGACATTATGTGTTTAGTTTTTTATTTTCGCAATTGGTCATGTTATCTAAACTGTTAAAATTCTGAAATCCGTCAAATCAGAGAAATTAACCAAAATAGTCAATCTTCACAACCAAATTCACCTTTTAGGCATTTTTGGCATCGAATTCTTTTTTTTTAACCTAAAATTTAAATGCGTAAAATTTATTTTCAGATTATTTAAAATAAAAAAAATTACTTTACACAAATTTATGTAATTTTTATCTGAAAATAGACTTTACGCAAATGCGTAAGAAATTTTCGTAAACTCTAGTTAGAATGAGAGCGTGATTGAAAAAATAATTAAAAAATGAATTTGGTTAGAAAAAATGATTATTTTATTCAATTTTTTAATAAATTATAATTATCATTTTATTAATTAAAAAATATAATAATCACATTTAAAGAAAAATTCAAAAAAACCCATTAAACTTTTCTATTTTGAATGGTTTAGTCCCTAAACTATTTTTTTTAAATGAAAAAACTATTAAACTTTCTCATTTTAAATGATTAAGTCTCTGAACCATTTTTTGAATGAAAAGTCATTAAACTCTCTTTTTGAATGAAAAAAAAAACCATTAAACTTTATCATTTTTGATTGATTAAGTCAATGAAATTTTTTCTAATAAATAAATAATCGTATTTTAAAAAGTTGGTTACTTACATCTTTTTAATTCGAAAAAAATTACATTCGATGATTTATTTATTTTTTAAATAAAATTCATGGTTTCAATCATTAAAAAAAGAAAATCTTTAATAATCTTTTCATTAAAAAAAATAGTTCAAACACTTAATTAATTAAAATAAAAAAATTTAATAAAAAAACAATTTATGGATTAAATTTTCTTTTTTTTTAAACTACATAACTTTTTGTTATAAATATTTATTTTGGAACATAAATCACTTAATGAGTTGTTTGATAATTGTTGAATAGTTTGATGCATAATGATTAAGAAATTCTTATAATATAGTACAAAATAAAATATACTTGTTTGGTAATTATTCAGAATGAAATTAGGATGCTGGATGGTTAAAAGAGACCCAAGATACAAAATCATTCAGAAAGTTTTAAAAATATTAAAATACAAATTTTTTTTTGTCAAATAAATTTCATCTCTTAACAATTTAGATATTTTTTTTTAATAAAACTATTAAAAGATAAATAAACAACACCTAAAATTTAAAAGATGAGATATAAAAGGCAATTGTGGGTAGATACTTTTAGGGGTAAAAGCGTCAGAATATTTGTAGAGTGGGACCCACTTGATACCTAGAATGGGGAAGGGGAGAGGAGTAGGGGAAAAAGGCATAAAAGAAGTGGATGGACACACGTGCACACCATTATTATACTCCTACTCCTACTTTACAAAGAACCATCTTTTTATTTATTTATTATTATTATTATTTTATATTATTTTCTTACACTATTATTCTTGCTTCAAAACAGGGTCATGTTCTTGTCAAAATGACTAAACTACCCTTCTCCATAATATCCCCCCCCCCAAGAAAACCCAATAATTGATATAAAAAATGAAGAGACCTAACTTTTATCAAAGGCAATGAAAAGGGTAGGTCAACTTCATCTAAATTGCCTTGAGAAATTATATCTAAAGACAGTAGCGGATCCATGAAATTAATGGGTTAGGGACATGTTGGATGGGATTTGTAGGAGGGAAGCATATGGTCATATGGGACTGGGAGGAAATCATGTAAGACGATGGTGAAAATAGAAAATTTAAGCTAGTCAACAAAGGTTTTTGGTTTTTGACTGGAGGGTTTTTCCCCATAGTGCTTAAAGGTTGGTTCCGCCCCTGTATCTATGGTTCTGGGTTTTTTCTAATTAGATTTAATCTAGTATCTTTTTAATATAACAATTTGGTTTTATGTACGGGTTTTGAAACAAATCAGCTTAAGTTGTTATAACGTGCAAGTTTTCTTCCTTTTGGGAAATGGGCGTGTCCGAATTTAGTGGGATTTGACTCGTTTTTTGTCAACTGCATGTGTTTGGACCAACTTTTTAGTTTTAAATTTGAGTTTTTTTTAAAAGAACATGTTAAAACACCAAATTAGCTTGCTTAGTTTGACTTTTGGTTCGAAAATGAAACCAAAACCATTTGGCAAAAAACGCTTATAAATGAAGCAAAACGACAAGAAAGTTAGAGCAAGAGAGAGACAACGGATAAAGATTGAATCTTGAAAACAAAAACTTTAATTACCCTTGAACTAACATTACTGATTCGTGAACTGGGAAAAAAAAGTTACAAGTTAATATCGCAGTATTATTTTCTAAAAATATTTCAATAAACCCTGTTACTTTTTCTTATAATAAACCAACTACCAGTTCTTTCTCGAAAAACCATTCCAATATAATAACACATTTTCTTGAATCCTCAACACAAGTCTTTAATACGAATACACTGAACAATCTCGTTAGGAAAAAAAAAGAACGTTTCCGCACCAAGAAGAATGAACACAATGATGAACCGATGCTTCCAGCAGTTTCATGCATAAAGTCTGATCGAAAAAGATCAGAAACCCAACATCAAAACGTATGACGGAAATCAATCTGAACGTAGAAACACATTACATTCATAACCAAACAATAACTCCCACAACAAGAAGCCAACCCTACATTCATGCCAATGGCAAGTTAGGGTTTAATAAGGGCAGAAAGAATGGCCATTTGGTGTGAGCTTTTTAAATGCAAGTAAATAAGGTGGATCATTCAATGAGGCAAGTGTAATTCAGGTGCATCTATTAAATTCCCACATTCATGTCAAAAGGGTATTTTGATAATTTCACTATGAACAATTCCCCACCCCCTCCATGTCAAAAGGGTATCTTGGTAATTTCACTACGAACAACCCCCCCTATATATAATGAAAGCACCTTTTAGACTTTTAGCTTGTATTTCCGATAATAATTTACTTTTTACATACAAATAATTAAACAAAATCTCAAGTCATTTGCCGTGTTTGACCTCAAAAGTGAAAGAGCAAGAGCATCATACATAGTTACATACTTTGAGAGAGAGAGAGAGAGAGAGAGAGATCCTCTAGAGAGAGATTTGGGTTGTTTGATTTGGAAGATGAGAGGTGTGAATGATACCATGGTGACGATTAACGCCGCCGCGTCGGCGATCCAGTCGGCGGAGAATAGAGGTGGTCAATCTTCTTCAGTTCAGGTGAGCAAAAAGTTGAATCTTTTTTATTATCTTGTTGATTTGATTCTGTTATTTTGAATGACTTATTTGATGGATTTTCAGTTTTGATGAAATTATATGATGGGTTTTTGATTTTTTCGATTTTAAGATCTGGGTTTCATTGTTTGATCCCCTCCAGAGCTAGAGATCTTGATTCCTGTTTGATCTCTCTCTCTCTCTCTCTATATATATATAGATATATATTATGTATATGTATAGGTTGTTAATTGTGGTTATTAGTGAAAGAAAATATGGTGATTTGTTCTAATTATGAGTTTTATAAAGCTGTTTTTTTTTTTAATTTTTAAGTGTAATTCTGTAGTATTTTATGGAGATCAATATGATCGATCCAATTTGGAGAAATGACTGAATCATTGTCGATATAAAAATGGTTCGTTTGATCAGAAAATTGTCGAAATCTTTTTGAAATTGTGGATTGTAGTTCCTCTGTTTGATGAAATGCGTCTTTGAAAACAGTTCTTGGCATTAACAGTTGATTGCCAATTTCAATTCTGTGGAAGCTTGTTATCTTTAATGGTGGATTCTTATAAGTTTAGTAGAACACATTGATTGGTTTTAAAACCATAAAATTTCCTCCCATTATTCGAGTTTTGAACTTCAAATTTGTTGCAAATCCAGACATTAAAACCGATAAAAAGACGTGTAGCTTGAAAGGTTGATGGTTGATAAGTTAGCCGTTAAACTGAAAAGCTAGCCGTTGGGCCCGTAAGCTAGCTATCAACTTGATCTATTTGTCGTATCAGATTTTCACTAAACAAAAACCATCAAGTCTTTTAAAAGTTCTTTTATGTATTTTTAATACACGTATATAAATCTTCAAATACTTGGCGTCCCTCGAGCTTTTGGATGTTAAGTCATTCTTCAAGTTATTGCTCTAATAGTTAAACTTTTCGTCAAGTGGTTCTCAAATCTTTTCATGAAGTTTTTATTTTAACTATTGGAGATGCTCTTAGTTGCCAAACTGAAAAGCTTGTTGTTGGCCTATAAGCTAGTTGTCAACTGAAAAATTAGTAGTTGGCTGCCAGTTGACATGCTTGTCGTTGGCTGATATGCTAACTGTTAGCTAAAAGTTAGCTACTAAACTGAAAAGCTAGCTGTCAGAAAAACTAGTTGTGATCTGACAGTTGATATGCTAGCTGCTAACTGATAAACTAGTCATGTTAATAGATGGCAGTGTAAAATAACCTAAAATGACATGTTGAATTGGTGTTTTACAGAAAAAAAGATGGGGGAGTTGTTGGAACATTTCGTGGTGTTTCCGATCTCAGAAGCCAAGCAAGAGGATTGGGCATGCAGTTCTTGTTCCCGAGCCTAATTCCTCAGGAACCGAGGCTCCAACGACTTCACACATGTCACAACCGCCTTCCACAGTTCTTCCGTTTATTGCCCCACCCTCTTCCCCGGCATCTTTCCTTCAATCGGAACCACCTTCGGCCACCCATTCACCTGGCGGCTTCCTCTCCTTCACCTCCGTGTCTGCCAGCATGTATTCCCCTGGCGGTCCGGCTAACATGTTTGCTATCGGGCCTTACGCCCACGAAACACAGCTGGTGTCACCGCCGGTATTCTCGACTTACACCACCGAGCCATCCACCGCTCCTTTTACACCGCCGCCGGAATCCGTTCATCTGACGACACCGTCCTCGCCGGAGGTACCATATGCTCGGCTTCTGGGATCTAGTAACCAAAATGATGTCATACCCTATGAGTTCCAATCTTATCAGCTATACCCCGGAAGCCCGATGGGCACCTCCTCCCCGTTCCCAGATGGAGAGTACGCTCGTGGCGGCAACTACCACTTCTGCCACTTCCCCGCCAGCGGAAAGCTCTCACCTTACGGATCTGGCACTCTGACCCCACCTGATGGTGTGGGTCCAAGGGCTCGTGATGGCTTCCTATTGACCAATGTGGGACCAGACCAGCATTTGGTTGATCATAGAGTCTCATTTGAGGTCACCCCGGAAGAAGTTGTCAGATGTGTCAAAAGGAGACGGGCTGCCCACGTGGCGTACGGCCGCGAATGCCGTAAAAACGATGACGTGGCGAAAGGTTATGAATGCTGGAATGGCGACACTTACGTGAATAATAGATCCATCACTTCACTTGGATCCGTCAAAGAATTCAACTTTGACAGCACAGATGGAGCTGAATCCGATTGGTGGGCGAGTGAAAAGATTCTCGGAAAGGAGAACGGGTCCATCAAAGACTGGTCTTTCTTCCCGATGATTCAGCCAGGTGTCAGCTAATGATTGGATATTGTGAAGAACCCGAAGAAAAAAATCAAGAAATCAAGAATCAGATAGCAGATAGCCATTTTTCACTCTGCCTGCAAAGGGGCATGGAACCTAACACTACCAATATATATATATATAAGATAAAATAAGTTCACAAGGACTTTTTTTGGTTTAGCGGGTAGTGGGAAAACTCGGCTCCGGTTCAAGATTCAAACCTGCGAGCTGGGAAATTTCTGTTGTAAGCTCTTCGAGCATGGATTGACCCTTTACAGCGAGTTTAGTCATATGAACACAACGATAGCGAGAAAAAACATGTTTTCCTTCTTTTAATGATGTTTTTATGTTTAGATGGTAGTACTTTTGATGCACTGTATACAAGTGTATATTGATCATATGACAGCAAGAAATTTGGGGAAATGATCAACAAGTTGCGTATGCCTTCTTTGTTTAGTCATATAAACACACCAAATGGAATGATTTCTTTCTAATGATGTTTGGTATCTTTGTATTGTACTACTTTTTATGCATTTTATACAAGTCTATTATCGTTAACTCTGCAAGACAGTCGAGTGAGCATAGATTCTACACGATTGTCGAGTCCTTAGAACACTACACATTGTGATATCATGTGAGAATATGTGGAACCCGTCAGATTACTCTTTAAAAGAGCTATGCCTTGGGAACAGAAGGGGGGTCTGTAGATTAATCTGATATTTTCACAGGGTGTCAGAGTCATGGTCTACATTAATTTTAGGACATCTTTACCTGTCTATCCTCTGTGGGAGGAGGCGTGCTAAGTCTCACATGACATGGACACTTTCTCTCCCCAATATACATTGGCACCTCCTTTCTCTCTGAGATTGTGTTTGGTACACAGACATGATAGAACATGACAAGTTGTCTGTCAAGTGTTTGGCACGACTAGGAGTCCAGGACTCGATAAGTTGCTCCTGAATATTGTTTAATGATTTTATATGGTGGTTACTAGTGGTAGTGGAAGAGGAGGTGGTTATTGTGGCAAAAGCAGAGGAGGTCGATGGTTGTGAATTCTATTCTATTCTGTCTCACCTGTCCCTGTTCTAGTCATGTCACGTCAAACATGAAACAATTTATCCAATGTCGCGCCACATATGAAACAGTGAATTCTGTTCTATCATTTCCTGTCCAGTCCCATGAACCAAATGCATCCTAAAAGACTCTTTTGAAGAATAATCTAACAGGGTTCCACATATTCTCACAAGCCGGATGTCTTCCACCCCTTCCAAACTGCTTATTTGATTCAACTTCAAGTGTCGAGCATAAAGTTTCCAACCCAAACCTAGCCAAAGATGGTCGATCTTTCATCTCAGTCTCGACTCATAAAGCAAAAATAAGACATGGCTTAATCTTGATAGTGACGTTAAGCTTGAGCCAGTTAAAAACAAACCAAAAGAACCCAGTATATATATCAGATATATATATATATATATATATATATATATATATATATATATATATAACTTAATGAAATAAGATAAAATATGAATGAAAAAGGAGATGCCATTTGGCCATTTGTGGTTGGGCAATCATGAAGATTTGGAGTATGTGAATAATTTAGGATGATTATGGTCAGAAATTGGGGCAGACACTTCCAAGAAACTACCAGAAATAGCAGTCTTCAAAAGTGGCATCACTTGCCAAAATTCTAGTCAAAATCATGATCAATAGTCAACCCAACCTTAACTTTGCTTTGACCATCACATTATCTTGTGGCCGTTATAATTTTTTTTTAATAAAGTATAAAAAAAAATATAGTTTTTAAAATTTTTTGGGTCTGTTTGGTTTGTAGGATTTAAGAATGGCAACCGACCGAGTTCGGGTCGGGTATTGTTGTCCCTGTCCTCGAAATCGATAACAAAGACCGTCCCTGTACCTGCCTGGATCCCCGTCGAGTCCCCGCGGTTTCCCCGATCCCCTTTGGGGAACTCGTTAAGAGTAAAAAATCTTTTTTTCCTGTTGGTTTCTCGTTCACCGTTGGTTATACAAGAACCCGAAACCTGAAGCGATCTGAAAAAAAATATATATCATATGTTAATTTTCACAACTAAAAGTAAATTATAATTTTTTTTTAAAGATGTAAAGTCTAAATGTCTCGAACATAATCAAATCAATTGCAAACATCGTCTTATATTACTATATAAAAGTAAACAGAAATTCAAACATCAAACAACTAACATTACGATCTCACGATTAGACAAAATAAACTAGATTGTTTTGTAAGTCTTATTTGGGGTGTTGAGGTATATTGGATAAAAGTCTTTTAAGTTTTAATGTTAGTATTTTTCTGTTAATGATATACATAGATATATATATATATATAAATTAAAATTAATACCTATACACATATCGGGCAGGATAGGGCCGGTGATCACCGTTCCCGTCCCAAGATAAAATCCCCAAATATGTCCCTGATCCCCGTCCCGTCCCTAAAATTTCGGTTTTCACCATCAGTTTCGGGTTTTTTGTCATCCCTAGCAGGATTGCTTTTAAGGGATTTGGATTTCATGGAGGGAGTTAGATTGAAATGGATTTGAAATCATTGGTATGTTTAGTTTGTAGGATTTGAAATGAAATTGGATTTTATTATTTATAAATAATTTATAGAAAAAATTATAAAAGTAATTGAATTACCGTTTTTATTAATCAATTTTTATAAAACAAATGTTGTTTGGATATTTTTTAAAACCTTATTGCATACAATCTTACGAAATCCCGTGAAATCCTGAGCATTTTTTAAGGATTTCAAAATCCTATATTTGAAGGATTTCAATTAAATCCAAGGATTTAAAATCCGGACAATCTTTTTCAAATGTAAGGGGCTGTTTGGTTGCCTCTTAATGGTGACATTAAGAGGACACCTCTTAATCGCTAAGAGGCTAGAGTTGTTTGGCAAAAAAAAAGGACCTCTTAATGGTGACAAAAGCCTCTTAACGATTTAGCATCTAAGGATTCACTCAACCATTCAGATACCATTTCTTCCATCTTTACCCTTCCCACCCACTCATCTCTTCCAGCTTGGGCTTCACAACTAAGCCCATGAGTTCACGTCTCCATCTCCGGTTACCTTCACCATCTCCATCTCCGGTCACCTTCACTGTCTCCATCTCCGGTCACCTCCACCGTCTCCATCTCCGGTTACC